CGCGGGGGGAGGCCCGAGGGGGACTTCGTGCCCGGGCAGCAGAAAGTAAGAGAGGGGCTCCCCTCGGCCCTCGCCCTCCGCGAGAGCGCTTCCTCTCCGCGCCTGAGCCCTTCGCCTCCGCGCGGGTCTCCCGCCGCCGAGCGCTCCCCCCCCGGTGAAGGCGCCCCAAACCCACGCCTGAGTGACGGGGGGGAAGGAGGGGTGCTGTTTGCACATGCCCAGAGGCTCTTCTGTCGTTCCTGCGTGTGCTTTGAAGGTTATGCTTCCTGCTGGGGTGAAACTGGCTAGTTAAAAACAGCTGGTTGGGTTAGATCTAAGATTCGTTCGTTTTGCTCCCTCAGTTTTCCCTCACGCAAAAGCAGCTTCGGTGCTGCTTACTCCTCAGGCACTGACGGTAGAGTGCTCCCGGCCAAGGGAGTTCAAACTGGCGACTTTTCTTCTGTTGGACACTTTCTTGTTTATTCAAGAAATTTTATTTATTTATTTTATTTGTTTATTTATTCAAAGTAGCCATGTATAGTTCCTCATCAAAGCGTTCCTGGTGAGGATTATTCTTCCACTCTCAATAATGTTTCCAACATTTTGTCACTGCCCCCTCTATTTCATCTATTCTACCTTGCCCTGTGCTATGCAATTATTTTAAAATATAGTATGTATTTTAATTGTGTTCTCCAAATTGATTACAGGTAGTCCTTGTTTAGCCACTGCCTTGTTTAGTAACTGTTTGCAGTCACGACAGTGATGAAAAAGTAACTTTGCAACCAATCCTTGCATTTACAACCTTCACAGGTCTGTAAAGGAAAGGAAAGCTGAAGTCAGATCATAAGCACAGTCACAATTTCACTTAGCGACTGCTTTGCTTAATGACCGAGTTGTTGGTCCCAATTGTGGTTGCTGAACAAGGAATACCTGTAATTTTCCTGTGGCTGATGTCTCTTAGGGCAAATCACTGTTGTGTTGCTCCTCTTCCGAATCTCTCCATATTGGGGCCAATATGTCAACATCCCTGGACTGATCAGGGCTTACCCATAAGGAGTTCTGCACTTCCATAAATTGAATGCAAAGGGAATGTGCTATTCAAGTTTGGGTGCTAGGATAAGAAGAGAGCACCAAAACTGGTGCTCAATAAATGCAGTTTGAATATCAAAGAAGTCATAGAGGTGGTTTGGTCATATAAAAGGGCCGAGGATCAAATTGCAAAACCAATATATGAAGGGAGAATTATAATTTTTATTTAAATTTATTGGCAGACCACCTCAAGTGGACTCAATGAATGGGTCAAGAAAAAGGGGACCCTTCTCTTTTGTAATGCCTGCCCTCTAGAATGGTATTCTCCCAGAGATTTGTATGGCTCCCGCCCCGATATTCCCAAAGTCTTTGAAAATTTGGCTGTTTTCTCAGGCCTTGGGGTAGGGTAGGCATTGAGCCCTTGTGGGATGTTTTATGGCGTGTTACATATGTGATTCCCCCACTCCCTGGACATACACAATCTCTTTATTCCTGCTTTTTAAAATGGAAGCCAGCTGGAGTTGCTTGAAATTAGGTGGCCTCTGAATTGAAATAAATAAATAAAGATCAAGAAAGTGGTACTTGGATGGAGTTGATGAAATCCTCAACAAGAAAGGGGAGAAGTTTAAAAACAAAAGGCAGTGTGTGGAGCAGGGTTTGTAAGAAGGTATTGAGCACTTTACATCAATAGTCCGGTGTAAACTAGACTTGGTTACATTTCTCTTTTTTTCTTATCTCATGCCTTAATTCCTTGGCTTTGCTATTTTGTCCCTTTGCATAATGTTGCTTCCCCCTGAAGGAAATTGTGTGATGGGTGTGTATTTATGGATTAATGTTTATTTATCTGCTTCTTTTTTGTTATGTTCTCTGTACCTATTCCAAAGCAGGTGTGATCCCACAGAACCTTTTCAGTTGCCGAAGCCTTTGGCCACAAACTCATTAGTTTCCTCCCAGGGCTCTACTTCTCATTGCCTAGTTTCTTGTCCATCAATATCTCGACTCTCCTTTATCTGGTTCTTTCCATGTTTGCTCCTCTTTCACCCATGTGCCATGCTTGTTACTCTCTTCATTGTTGTCATAAGTAGGCATTTTTCTCTTTGCCATCCCTCTATGACACATGGCCTGCTACGTCTCCAATTCCTTCATCTCATTCCTACTTTTCTTGTATTTTACCTTGTTGTTTCCCTACCCTCATTCTCCACTTTTTTCTTGGGCTTGGCTCTTCTGCTTCATCCTTACCTAATCTGACTTGTTTGTAATGCACTTGTATACACATATCACTTTAAGCCATAAAATGCTTTGTGGGGTTTTGGTTAGCATGGGAAGCAAACCCATCTGTTATGGTTTGTAAATCCTGCTTTGTGCTTTAGAGTGTTGTTGGAGACCGGCCAATTGTGGCATCTCCTCTTCCTCCTCCTCCTTAGATTTATATTCTGCCTTTCCTCCAGAAGCTCAAGGTGATACATGTAGCACTTTCTCCTCCATTTTTACCTCACACCCACAGACTTGTAAGGTGGACTAGGCTGGGGTTCATAATCATCTAGTGAGTTTTCATGGAGGAGGATAGACTAAACTGCTTTCCCCAGTATTCGTCCAATGCCTTAAGCACCATACCATACCAATTCTTATAATATCCATCCATCTATCTTATATTTAATGCCCAGAGTCAGGCGGCATACAAGTTTAATAAATTATTATTATGAACTAACCATGGTTAAATTACACTGAGGCACAGTGTGCACATGCAACCACATTAGTGTTAGATTGGCTGTGTAGAACTATTGAGTCTCAGATCGCGTGTTCTCTGTCTTTTGTGCTCATAGCTTTACAGGGCATGCGCCTGTGGAAAACATTTCAGACGTTCTCAGTCCTTCTCAGTGACAGGTAAGAGGTGTGCTTGGGTATTGTTTAAAGACCACAACAGCATTGTTTTCTATGTTTTGTGCCCTAATATATATATTAGAAGTATTTGAATTGCTGAACTATAAGACATAAACTTAGTAATAATGCTCCTTGGAAATATTGGTGTGATGATCTGTGTGATACATATGTATCCTGTCTGTTGATGTCTGGAGCCCATTGCTTGTACTTTATTAACAGAAACTACACTGTAGTTTATTTTATAGTAATATTTGTGTACTGATATGCAATGTCTAGATTAGTGGGTCTCAGCCAGTGGTCTGGAAACTATTGGTGGATCACGAAAGTACTATAGATGGTTTCTACTGCAGGTACCAGAATGTGCATGTGTTTCTGTATTTTCAAATGGCCCCCAAATGGAGTGATTTCATTTTGAACCCACTTGTTCTCATAAAATCATGGAACATAAGAGTTGGAAGGTACCTTGGAGATCATTTGACCCAACCCCTTGCCAAGCGCAACAGGTTTATAAAACATTCTTTACAATTTATTATGAATTTATGCAACTTTATTAATTAAATCTTGATGAAGCAAGTTATGGCTTAGTGTAGTGTGTGCCCTGTCCTCACCCCCCCCCCAAAATCCATCCTAGAATGAAGTTATGAATGGGTCTGTAAGTTAATTCATGCCATTTTTTTTTATTGCAGAACCAGAAATTTCTAAATTGGACTAGAAATGTTTCTTAGCTGTATGCTTTTTTTTTTTTTATGGGACACCAGTATTAACTGTAAGCTTTAAAAAAATAGTGTAGACAAATCTAAAAATGTTCTGAAAATTCCTTTTAAGGAGACAGCGATGGGAGCAGCTTTATAAGCAAGGAGACATGGAATGAGAAGGATTATGACAGAGGTAGGATTATGGATAATTGCAAGCTGTAGTTAGCCCTACCTATCATTGAAGTTGTATGCCAATGTCTGGGTTGGGTTACTTCAGATTGCAGGCACTTTTCCAGGTAATAAAATATTCCTACATATTCCAAAGTGCCCCCCCAATTAAAATTTACTACATCATTAAAATTTTATTTATTTATTTATATATCAAATTTGTCACCGCCCGTCTCATTAAAAAACGGCTCTGGGTGGTTTACAGAATAGTTTGTCATTTATATTATTTTCCAAAATTACAGATAAAGTTGAATGTAGTCCTGTTTAAATTGTTTATTGGAAAATGATGTACAACAGGATTATCCCTTTTTTTCTCTACTGTTCACATGTTTAGAACCATTAACTTGGGTGATTAGCCACAACAGTGAGATACATGATTTGAAACATCTGGAAAGGAACATAAAGTTCACAGAGGATATGTTGGTACCACTGAGTACTCACTATTAAAATTAATAAATCAGTTTTATGCTATGTACCCTGACTCTGTAACCTAATAAGAAGCCAAAGGAAATGGACAATGCACACTCTTAACAATCACAAAAAGGCTGATGTTACAAAGATGAAAAAAACGCATTCTCCCTCAGTTATACAGCATTAAAAACTTGACCCTTTTTCCATATTTGAAGAAACATTTTATTCTCAGTTGGAATAGAAATTGGGTTCACCTTTACTCTCTATGCAGGTAGTCTTCTATTTGTTGTTTCTTCTTTTAAACTTAGGCAAACTGATTTTAGTATAATGAATTAATTACATAATATGATATGAACATATAAGCAAGACCAATGGTAAGTTAATTATTAATATTCACATAATTTTTTTTTTATTTCCCCCCATTTTTGGGAGGAAATTTCCCCCATTTATTACTTTCGGAAATAAATAAAAACAATTATGTCAGAAACAAGGTGGACTTGAGCCTCTCTTCCTGACATGCTAACTGTCTATATGTAGGGAATTCTCTGTATAAAATAGTACAGGTAGTCCTCAGTTAACAACGGTAATTGGGACTGGAATTTCTGTCACTAAACAATGCAGTTGTAAAGTGTGATGTCATGTGACCGCATTGCTTACCAATGGCAATCCTGGCAGTCCCAGTTGCCGTTGTTAATGAATCCCACCGGTTGTTAGGCGAGGACCCACCCTGATCCAAGCCACCCCTGGCTTGGTCTCTACCAGCCCCTAGCCTCAGTAAGGTAAGGGACTGCCTCGTCTTCAACTCCCTCCACTCGTCTATCTCTAGATGGGGGGATCTCTGCCCTTTTGGCCACCCTGCACAATGGCATTCCTTGGCGGCGCTGGGGCTGAACTAGAGGCCCAGGGCCTTCAGCAGTGTCAGCAGGCTGCCGCCGCCCCCAGGCCTCTACTTCAGCCCCAG